ACCCTGATGCCGTGAGCCTTCAAGTCTTTCTGGATCTGCGGGAGACATGGCCGTGGCGTTGTCTGTGCTAGCAAAGGAGCTGGCTCCCGTTCAGCCTGTACCCCTCAAGGGAGGCTAGCATCTCGCCTGCCGCTACAGTGCGGCCACCCCTGGGGGGAGCGGTGCTTGGAACACAGCACACAACAACGCCACTGCGTGCTTACAGCCCTGCCGCCAATGGACAAGAGGGGATTTCAGGCGGGCAGGGAGCCATGGCCGGAGCCGGGGCCCTGAGTTTAACCCCCATTCTCAGGTGTCAGAGGCCGTGAGCAAGAGCGGCTGCTTCCTGCTGCTTTCCTCTGTCCCTGAGGGGCCTCTGCTCAGCTGGGGAAGAGACACACACACCCCTGTCCTGCCACAAGAGACCCACGGGCTCTGGGCCTATTGGGGACCACCCAGCTCTTTGGGGGCTCAGCCCTGCCCCACCTTGAGAGGCCCCTGGGGTCCCATGCAGAGCTGCCCTGGCCTCCCGCCTCCCCGGTGAGGTCAGAGCTCCCCTCACCCTTTGCTTGAACTCGGCCCGTTCCTCCAGGGTCAGGGTGTCGGCCTTGGCGATCACTGGCACCACGTTGACGATCTTACTCAGCCGCTGCATGAACTCCAGGTCCAAGGGACGCAGCCTGGGAGGGAAAGTGCTGGGTGGTCCGGCTGGCCAGAGGGGGATGTGGGGACCCTCCATCCTCACACTGCTTCCCCCAGACACAGCCTGGGGTGAGAGGGCCAGCCCCTGGCCTCAGACCAGCCGCACAGCCAGGTGTCCTGAGCGGAGCGGCCGAGGGGAACGAAGAGCCAAGTCCTCCAGCGGCCGCAGCAAGTCGGACCCCTCGCAAGTCACTCCCGCAGCCAGGCGGACCTCTCGGCTGAGACGTGGCCTCTCCTTCACTAGGACCCAGCACGAGCGGGAGCCCCACGCTGCACACCGGCCCCCTGCCAGTTCAGCCCGTCACGGCCCGGCCTCAGCCCACGAGCAGCTCCCTCGCCAAGGGCTCTGGCTGCCCCCATCGGGAGAGGCCAGCCCGGTGGAGCATGTGGGCGCTGGGGAGCAGGCAGAGACCGATCGCGACTCACCAGTGGCCCGTGGGTGGCACGAAGTACACGCAGCCGTGGACCCTGGTGTCCGGGATCTTGCGCTGGCGGCTGATGAGGATTTCCTCTCGCAGGTACTTCTCATACTGCTCGCTGATGTACTTGATGATGGGGTCCCAGCTGGGCGATGGGAGACAAGGCTGGCAGGAGAGGTGTTTGGCCCACATCCCTGGCTCCTACACCTGTGCCCTGAGAGCGGTGGGGCTGTGCCCCCGCAGTGGGGGAGAGCTCTCCTCTGCCCCCCCATCCCCGTCACAGCCTGGAGTCAATGGGTCGAGCACATGCACCTGGGGCAGCGTCCCGGTGCCAGGGGGTCACATTACGGCCAGCCAGCTGTTCAGACGAAGCCCGTCTGGTGCCCCATGGCCCGCCCCCCGCCAGTGATGCTGGGTCCCCTCCCGCCCTGGGGGCCCGCAGACCCGGGGAGCCTGGTGAGGACCTACCAGTTCTCATTGTTGATCTGGTCACCGAAGCCCGGCGTGTCCGTCACCGTCAGCTTCATCCTCACGCCCTTCTCTTCGATAACTAGCGGACAGAGGGGGCACAGTCAGGCGTCCCCTCCAGGCGTCCCCTCCCCGCCGGGCATCTCCCCCAGAGCCCTGCCTGGCTCCCCACCCCCGAACGGGGCATTCCCAGCCACACAGCCTGTACTGCAGGCCTGGTGAGGGACCTGGTGACCAGCCGGCCCTTGGGGCAGTGTGGGGCAGGTGGGCTCCATGGGGCTGGATCCTGTTCCCAGGGAAGTCAGTAGGACTCTGCTGTGGCCAGGGAATTGTGGCCATGCAGGGTGGGAGCCAGGGGGTCCCCTGGGGGCCGCTCTCGGGATGGGTGGCCAGGGGGTCCCAGGGCAGCACAGGCCTCTGAAATTGTTGGTAGGAAACTAGGAAGGGCCGGCTGGCTGCGGATGGCCGGGGGCTGCTGGGGACCATGGGGCCAGGTCAGAGCCTTGCTGGGCCCCAAAATCCATTCAATGGCTCCAAGCCTATGCCAGGACTGCCAGGGGTGAGGGAGGGGCCACAGCGAGGCATGGGGGGGTGGAGAGGAAGGGGCCCTGCCCTGGCGCCGGGGGGGCGTTACCGTGGGAGCCGGTCTGCAGCTGCACCGTCTTTGGGATGCGCTCCTCGTAGCCGGGGCCCGCGGGTTTCCGGCTCACCTTCGACTTGAAGAGGGTGTTCACCATCGTCGACTTGCCCAGGCCGCTCTGCCCTGCACGGGGACGGAGAGCGAGCGCCGGGTGAGCCGCGGCAGCGCACGGGCCCATGGGCCCCACCCCCATCCCTCCACTGGGCTCCGGGGCCCATCGGCAGAGCGCTGCTGAGGGGCAGAGGAGATAGCAGGAGGAGACGGAGGGGCCCCATGTCCCCCGCCATGGGGGGTGAGGATGGGCAGGGCACACTGTGGGTTCCCTCATTAAAAGGGGGATGCTGAGCGCTGAGTAGAAACCATGGCCAGCCTGCCCCACCCCTCCCCAGGCTGGGAAGGCACAGCCCCATTTCCCTGCTGCGGCCCTCCAGCAATCAGCTCAGCAGCACTCCGGACAGCCCGTGCACCCCAAGCTGCATTAGCGCCCGACTCCCTTGCCAGCCCCACATGCCCCATGCTGGTCCCCACATGCCCAGCATGGCTAGGGGGTGCACTGCGGTCTCCTCGGATTCCCGTGTGTTAGCCTGGGCGCGCCAGGCTAGGGTCTCTCCCTGCTGGAGACCCACGTGGGGTGACCCCAGCTGGCCCTGTGTGCCCTCCCTGCTGCACTGGGAGGCAGGGCTGGTGCAGCCTTGGTGCCCTAGTCCTGCAGCTCTCGGGTTTCCGGGCACTGTCCCCAGGCGTTAGCGTGAGGGAGCAGGATGGGGGTTCACACGCTGGAGTCTGTGCTGGAGGGAGGCTGTCAGCTGGGCCCAGGAAGGGGAAGTGAAAGGGACCAGCATACAGAAGGGGAGTCATAGCAAGAGTCTGTCCAGCTGCAAGCAAGCACCTGCCCCCCCCTTCCGCTTCTGGAGCTGGGGGCTGGGGTGGGGCAGGAGCTGGGTTCCCAGAGCCCTGGCTGCTCACCTGCCCACTCGATTCTTTGCCCCGCTGTATGTTCTTCCAGCCCAGCTCATGTCCTACTTCCCACACTGCCCCCTGGCAGGACCCCTGAGCAGCCCTGTGCCCCCTCTCCCTGGCTAGTTTCCCCCGGAGGCTCTGGGTCTCATCTTTGTGACCCTTCCAGAGTGGAGCCCAGGAGACAGCCCACAAGAGGGGGGGGCTGGAATCAGTTGTGCACCCACGGTGAGGGGAGAGCGCTGGGGGACTGCAGGGTTGCAGGAGAAGGGGGACTGAAGCCCCCATGAGAAGTGGGGCTGCTTCCTCTGGGGTCAGTCGCTCGCTGGTGCAGATCAGTGCGCCAGGGCCGGTCACTCGCTGGTGCAGATCAGCGCACCACAGACAGGACCAGGGCTCATGGGCAGCCCTAGGCTGGGTTCCAGGGCCAGCTGGGGTCACCCCACGTGGGCTGGAGCACATTGGAATTAGCCACCAGCTGCTGCGCTGCCCCACCCCACATGGGCTATTTCACCCTGAGGCTCAGGCCAGCTGCCCCATTGGCTGCCTCCCTCCTGCGCGGGCGGCCTGCGCGTTAGCATTACGCAGGCTTGGGACTCTCCTGCCAGCAAGCCGGGCTGCTGGTGGGCGAAGGAAAGGTGCCCCCAGGAAGGGAAGGCCAGATTCACACCCCTGGGGGGGGCTGGGCTGGCCCGTTCGCTGGCTGCACACTGGGGTACCTCTCCTGCCACACAACGCCGGGGAAAGGGCCCCGGACCCGGGTCGCTCCCGTCTGCCACACAGCCGTGCGGGGGTCAGACACAGGAAGCCCAGCCGGCCTGGCACCCGCTGCAGGGGCAGCCTCAGTGCAGGGCAGGGCGGCTCTTGAGTGTCGAGGGTCCTGGGTCGCACCAAGGGGGTTTCAAAGCCAACGCCCCGGCCTGGCAGCTTGCCCGTGCCCTGGCCTGTACGGACCAGGGGCAGGAGAACCATCGTTTCCATGGGAACGGGGCCCCGCCAGCTGAAACGATGCGATGGAAGCAGGATGTCGCGGGCTGGGTCCCCTGCCTAGGCCAGGAGCGCAGACTCCGTCAGGACCCTGCCGTCCGCACGAGCGGGGCAGACTGGGGGCTGACAGAGCCCCCTCCCCGGGGTGCTGCGCGGCTGGGTTCCACAGCTCTGGTCGCTCGGCACCCAGGCAGCTCCACTGCCGAGTCTCCTGCAGCGCGTCGGGCCGGAGAATGCTCTGAGCTCCACTCCCGCCCCCAGATCTGGGCTGGGAGGGGATCCCCGTCCTCCGGGCAGCTCACCCGACCTCTGGCCTGGCTGAGGGCACAGCAGCAGCCCGGGGGGGGGGGATCAAAGCTCACCAAGGGGGCAATCTGACAGCCCCACAAGCCATGGGGAAATTCAGCCTCCGGCTCGGAGGGTCTCCCCTTCCCTCTGCAGCAGGCGGCACCGAGGCAGGATTCCCGGACCCAGAACAAAGCAGCCCTTCTTCTCCCACCCCCCACCCAGCAGGCGTCTGGTGCCTGAGCTCGCTCCCGCCGGGGTCACCAGCGGGTGGTGGCCATACTGCAGCCGGGGGCCATGCCACTGGCCAGCAGGGGCCTGCCGACCAAGGAGGGCCCCGCTGTGCGGGTACCAGCGGCACCGAGGGGATGAAAGGGGGCGGCTGATCGGTCACGGCTGAGCCAGGCTGACTCGGGCTTGGTGAGAAAGCGACTGTGGAGGGGGGCACCCAAGGGAGAGGCGAGAGGAATAAGTCCAGCCCGGGAGGCTCTGCAGCCAGCCCAGGGACGGGACGGTGCTCCCTCCAGTCGACAGGGGCTATGCCCAGCAGCCCGGCCTGCACCCAGGCACCTTCGAGCAGCGCGGGACAAGCAGGGCGCGCTGGCGGCATCGGGGCACATGGGGCTCCACCTGCCCTGCTCCCCGGCGGCAGCGGGACTCAGCCACAACAGGGCAGCAGCAGCAGGGCTGTGCTGGGGACAGCTGCGGTACTGGCCCCCCACTGGCTTCTGTGGTGAGGAGGAGCCAGGAGGGGAGAGGGATGGCAGAGCCCTCCTTGGAGCAGAGGGGAGCAGCGGGGAGGAGCAGGGGCTGGAGCCAGCTCCCCCCGCAGCTGCTGGACCGGCAGGGGTGTGATTTTACGCCCTCTAGCCACTAGTGCGACGCGGCGAGGAGACGAACCTCACACCCGGAGAGCTCAGTCCTCTCCCTGCTGAGGAACAGCCCCCCGGTGTAAGCCCCACTCCAACAGCTGTGCCCGTGCTGGCAGGAACACCGCGGTATGGGAGCAGCCTTGGCACAGAGCCCCGGCCAG